TAAAATATATTTTTAGTGATATCAAAGAGGAAGGGAGAGGGAGAGATAGAAACATCACTGATGAGAGAGAATCATGGATGGGCTGCCTCCTGCACAGAACGTCCCCACCCTGGGGACCGAGCCCGCCACCCGGGCCTGAGCCCTGACGGGAATGGAACCGTGACCTCCTGGCTCAGAGGTCGATGCTCAGCCGCTGAGCCGGGCCCGCAGGGCTTCGTGTTTCATTAGGAGCTCAGGAGTCTCTTCCTGGGGGCAGCTCCCAAGTCCCCCATGTGAGGAGGAGACGCGTAGGGCAAAGGGGGCAGGACAAGAGCAGGGAGGGCCGCCTGCGTGTCCGGAGGCCAAGACTCACATATCAGGACCGGGACCCTCCCCGCAGCCCCTCAGACCAGCCTGTCTGGGAGCAGACGCCCCTCTTGGGGGGCTCCTCTGGGGGCTCCTGGGCCCCTCCTCCCTTCACCCAGATGGTGGGGGTTGTTCTTTGCTCCCTCGGCCCCTGGGGCTCCCCTCCACCTTCTGCTCCCCACTCTGCATTCTCAGTGTCCTCCTGTCTGTCCACCTGCGCTGTGAGGCCCGTGACCACCGACACGCTTCGCCCACTGGCCGAGCCCAGGCCTGTTCTGGACTCAGTGAACGCGGCCGAGGCGCGGCGGAGGGTGGACCACGCCTGCTCGGCCGGGTCTTCTAGAAACTCTCCGAGGGCATGGACCGCAGGAGCCGGCGACACGGAGACCGAACCGGCTGCTTCCGCTCTCTCCCCCAGAAGGCGGCTGGAGCCAGGCCTGGGAGGGCCGATCAAGCGGGATATTGCGCTAATTGATGACTTGCTGGGGGAGCTCCTTCATTGAAACACACTGTTCGTGCTGCCGGAGGCGTCGTAAAGTGACCGAGTCCCCAGCAGGAGGGACAGCTGCTGCCCCTGGAGGCGGTGCTCACACCCCCCCAGAGCCCGGCTTCCCTGAGCCCTGGCAGGGGCCCACGCCAAGGAGCACAGCCAACTCCACCCCAGGCCTGCCCTGCACACCGTGGGGACGGGGGGGACGGTGGGGGGCTCCACTGAATCATCTGCTTTCATCGCGTGTCTTGGGTTCCAGTTGGAAGGGAAAGGCTGGGGCCCGGTCCCCGGTGAGAGATCTTCACACCGACCGTCACCCATGTTCCGCCTCCTGTGAAGCCGACGCCACATCTATGCCGCCTTGCTAGGGGTTCCAATCGTGGGGGGAACAGACACCCCTATACTGGTCCGTGGAACTTGGCCTGGTTGCTAAAGCGAGTTAAAGCCATTGCGCTGCCTGTCACCAGACGCCCGCTGTGTTCTGCGGGCCTTTGGGACGGTGATTCTGTGGAGACAGCCCCTTCTCCCTTCCCTCCCAGCCTCGGGGAGCGGCCTCAGGAGGGACCCCCTGGTCCCTGCACCCCTACGTCAGCACAGCTCTAGTGGGTGAGGCACACCCCAAGTTGGCCACTTACAGTAGGATTTTTTCTCCTGATTTGGGACAAGCAAAAGGAACAATCAGTT